GTGTGTGTGTGTGTGTGTGTGTGTGTGTGTGTGTGTGTGTGTGTGTGTGTGTGTGTGTGTGTGTGTGTGTGTGTGTGTGTGTGTGTGTGTCTGTCTTTAAGAGAGGGGCAGGGGAAGTCAGGACAGCCACGGCCAGACCAGGGGTCTCAACAACCAACAGAGATACACACCCACAGATAGAATGCGAGGTGCTTTGAACACCTTGCGGGTGGAAAAAACGGCAGGGGCCAGCCCAGCGCCGCAAGCTCACTGAGCAACCTCCATAGGCAAACAAGGGAGGTCCCCAGCGCACCCGCGTGAAGCCACCGTTGAGGCCCCCATGGTGAGGGGTGGCTCCTCAAGCAAGCTGGTGCCCTATGTGGCCAAAAACCAGCCGGGTGACATCGCTGTGGTCTCACACTACAAGGGTGATGCAGGCTCCCTGGCGCCCACCAAGGGTAGGGCCGCGAGGAGCGAAACGCGCCACGTGGAGGTGTGTGCAGGGCTGCCACGTCATTCTTGCACACATGCACGTGGCGGTCGTGAGCCCGGCACAGGATTGCCTGGTTCATGACTTCAGTCATACAGGATGGGGCCCCTAACATACTGGTCAAGGCTTGAAGGCGGTCGAGCTGGAAGGTGCAGGACTGGCCAACCCGACAAGTTTATTGCCTCTTGACTCGCCATCATATATACAGAGCGTTCAAACGGCGATCAAAGGCGTTTGCCACACAAGATGCAGCCGGTCAAAGCCCGAAGACCGGCACGGTCCGTAGCAAAGCAAAATCGAATTTTAAGGACTCGGCGCGACTCACGCCCGGGACCTTGTCAAGATTCGTGCCTTTATTGCAGGCAACAACAGCAAGCAAGAGATCTGCCGAGCTGCGAGATCGTTGCAAACGCCGCGGGAGCCATACGTGGGTACAGCACAGCAATGCCGCCGGTGTGCTGGTGCGCGCCGCACCAGTCGGCTCGGCGGTTGCTGAGTCCCTGACGTTTTTTCCAGACCTCAGCCCTCATGCTGTACAGCAGCGGGTACAGGTAAACGTTCTGCTTATGCTCCGTCTGGCCTTTTTTGAGGAGGGACCTGAACAGCATGCATGTCAATGCAAGCAAGCTCGAAGCTCCAGCAATGTGCAGGGTGCCTGAGTGCCATAGAGGCTGCGCACAGCGGAACCTGCGCATCAGGCTTGCCGCATCGCCCCTGGAGGATGCACAGAGACTTGTATCGGCGGTGCCTGATTTCATATTCTCAGTGTCTGCAGGGGTGTTAAGCAGGCACCGCCGTCTTGAGCGTGAAGCCAACAGGCCCCCTCTGTGCAGCTGAAGGCCGGCATCACTATTTACCACTCCACTGTACACGCCTGCCCGCTGCCTGCGACAGGCCGCCAAGCTCAGACTCAAACAAGCACAGGCCCCGTCAAAAGGTAGGATCTCCACTTCACGTTGCAGTGGCTACAAATCCCGCTAAGGCAGCTGATAATTGGTGCTCGTGCTTTGGCTGTCAGGGGCGCCGCCCTTCACGGCGCAGCAAACCTGGCGGCTCATCAGGTGCCTGAAGAGTACGCCTGCATCGGCCTTGATTTTGGGTGGGTGCTTGCAGCAGTGTTATGATCGACGGACATGGGTCGCACACGTGATGATTTTTTAAGGCACTTGCCACACCACTTGGCACCATCACACCAACAACACCAACGGCTAGGCTGCAGCAGCAGCAATTTGGGCACCATTCTTTTGGGGATTTACATAGAACGCACGAGGCGCCGGAAGGGACCTGTTGGCTACAGCGCTACCGGTGCCACATGACGATGCCAGCTGCCAGCTGCCCGCAGTGTTGCCTGCTTTATTGCAGGGTGTATCTCCGCCTGATCAGCCGCTGCATGAAGGCCAGCAGTGTCGACAACGCAGAAGATATGATGGCTGTGCTGGCATGAAAGGAGAAACGGTGCATTCTAAGCATAGAGTAGAGTAGAGTAGAGTGGACCGGGCGCTGGGCACCCAGTATGTTTTAAGGACGGGCGCGGGGGTCAGGGCAACTGCCCATTACCCCGCTGCCCCACCGGTGTGGGGGACCTGGGGCCCCCCACTGGGCGCTTAGGGACCCTCAGGTGACGCCCTTGGGCTGCCCCTTACAGTGTCGCCGCGCACATACTTTTCA